AGGATTATCAAGTGCATTCTCAAGTATTGGAATCATAGTATACTCTCAAAGATTGCTATAAAAGTGCCCGGAACGGAAACGAAAGATATGAACGGCGATATAAAAGAAAATAGCATATTTAATTTAGCTATAAAAGATCAGGTTTGAAATTTGCTGTGAAACTAGACTAAACTGGAATGTGAGACTGATACTTCGTTGGTTCACGGTACTCTCTTCCCTAATCAGTAAAAATTACACAGTATCCATGAGGGCACTCTAAAGATCAGCAAATCAAAATGCCAAAGTATAGATTTCGAAAGTGCACTTTTATATTCCAAAGAGTCTGATCTATATAAGGAAGTTTAAAAGGATAACTAATATTTTTCCTAATTATGTATAAAAGTGTTCGATACTAACAGCAAGAGAAAGTAGATTAAGATGATTTTTTTAATGGAAAACCGCTAAATATAGAGAAGGACAGAAGCGTCCAATCGATGCAGTAAGGACAAGATTTGAACTAATCCTTTTTGATGAAAGTGAAAATCTCTCGGGCAGATTTTGGCAATGGATTTGAACAACGCAAGATCGTGAACATATTTTTGAAGTATTCAGAATTTGTGAACAATTGTAAAAATGAAACAAACAAACAGCTGCTCGTAGAGAAAAAATATTGGCAACGCCACAAATTTAAAGAAAGGTTTTGAAAAGAAGAGAACGTTTGAAGCACGGAAGTTTAGTTGCTATCGATTTATTCGATCGGCCGTGTTAGCGATGTCCATCACCAGCGCGACCAGTCGCAGAACCGGTCCTGGCTGCCGCCTCTCCGAGAAAGACGGTTGACCCATCACTTCTGCAGCCAGCAGGAACTGGGAAGCATACGCAGATCCAAATAGAGCGGGATGGGTGAAATGTGAGAACACATTGCGTTATGCTGCCTTGAACCCGGAGTAATCATCTACAGCAATGTCAGCGAAAAGACGACCTCAGCACAGTTAATGTATACCTCCTAAATTATTTCCTGTTCACTCCCTTTCGATGTTCTGAAAACGAGGCCACTTTCACACAACATATGGGGGAAAGCTAAATCAGCAACAGTAAATCGTATACATTAGCAACCTCAAAATTTATGTTCCCGGTAAGGAGGCAGAGTGAACGAGGAAAATGAGTTTTGGAAGATTTAACGACAAGATAAAACCAAAAACAGCTGTTCAATGGATCTGGGTTTGCTGTTTTGTAGATCTTTTAACAATGTTGGCTACATTATGCTTCGCAATCTTCGCTAGTGTGAATTGAATTTGTGTAGGCACGATCATCACGTGGTACTTTTATGTGTGAACCGCAAGTAATTGTGATTTATTCGCAGTGCAAGTCATTGCTAAAATACATAGAGTCATGACTCTAACCTTACCTTCACTAGTGAGCGAAAAAAGGGTAGAACCATCACCTAACAGCGTCTGAGTAACTCAGTGTCCGTGGCCCGGACACTGTGTGATTTTTCTGCCTAGTATTTGAAGATGAGTAACATAAGGTCAAAAAGGGGAAAATAGCCCTTGCTTAGTACATAAGAACTTTGAACATTAGGAAGATTGACGATTTTCTTTAACAAGAATTGAAAAGGTGTTTTAATCATAGAAAAAGGGCTACAAAATGTGAAGAATAATTGCTGATTTTGCCCTATAACTATTCCCTTCAAAGCTGTTGAGGTGTGTAGAACTTCGAAACACGTGTACGTTGGAAGTAATAGTTTATGATTTAGATTGAACTATTGGAGCATAACAAATAGCTCTGAGTAGTGAAGATCAAGAAAAAATAGGAGATAACTCGTTACAACGAAACCTATGAAAGTTGCGCATTTGTCAGTTGGATTTTCCATACGATTCTGAGCGAAATGATACATCGATGTTGGGGGTATCGTTGAGTATGAGCCGAGATAACTCACCAGAGCCAAATGCCCCGTCTTTCTCTGCCGTCTCTCAAAATTGCGTACTCTCTACGCAACCAAGTTTCTTCCACGGGGCATTTGTCTCTGGTGCCCTTTTTTCCGTTATGCGAATTAAAGTAGGCAAATCAAATATCACTGTGAAGGTCTTAAAACGTTTGAACAGACAACTGAGCAACATTCAATTTTTTGGCCTGAGTAAGTGAAATAATAAAAAAACGTCTTTTCGTTTTCCTGAATAAGCCATGTAGTTCTTAATTTCGTTTTTCCACTAATTTGACTGGACCCAACCGCAGCAAAGCTGACAAATGCGCAAATTTCAGTTGATAAAACTATTTAAAACTATTTCAACGGACGCACTAAAAACCGCATTTCTTTTTGTGACTTTCCCAAGATTTAGTGCGGTTAGGCTACAACACTAAGATTACTATGCTCGCAACATTGCGCACGAAAAAGTAGACAACTGTACTACTTTCAGTTATCATGGGGGAAAGTTTTAAACGAAACATGCAAAAATGACTTTTTGGAAGTTTGAAAGAAATGGTCCTACTTACAGTCTCAGTGCTTGACTTTGACGTTTGAGGTCACCTTTTATGTAAAAAGACGACTCTAGCTCCTCAATTTGTTGAAGGTATATGCACAACAAGGAAGGGGAATGAAAAAATGGATGAAAATGTTTGAAGAAGGTGTTATATCATTTTGCCACATTTTTCCATTAATTGCTGTTTGAAAAGCAGTGTTTCCATAGATTGTTGTATTGAAGCAGATTTGCTTATTTCTTCTTGTCAGCTACTATAATATGTCAAAAACCTTCATCCCTTTTTGCAAGGCTCCTAAAAAATCACTGTCACTTTTGTTGTCTTGTCTCTGGAGTATCGAACCTACGATGCAAGTACATTTCTGAGTAAAACACGTGCGTCAACGGATGAGTCGCAATAAAGCGCATATAGACAGGTAGAAACATTTTTGCTTTTGTTAGCCGAAAGTCGAAGGTTTGGAACTAATCTGCAGAGCTCTGTTTACGCTGAAGCAGTCCGTGGTTGTGTTAGGCCATCTGTATTGAGACTCGGTGTTAGTTAAATGACATGAAGTTTGTAGTTCTGAGTAGGTTCCATGAGCCGGGTAGCTCAACGACAACGATTGTGGAGCACGTATGAGCCTTTCGGCGCATATAAGTGGATTACACTTCCAATAACTTCTTGCTCACAAACTTGTTTTTAGGGCACACTGAGAAGAAAAAAAGAAGTGCGTTTATGACTTTGTGACCAGCTACTTGTAAGCATTCAGCAGTTCTCCATCATGCGCAAAACCGTGGCCGTAATACACATTTTCTCAGTAGTTGAACGAATGAAGCTAATAATTAGGCTATCTCTCGCAAACTTAATGTCAGAACAGCTGTAAATGGTATTTGCGCAAAAGACATGCCCATAATCCACAATGAATGCATTCTGTCGCTGTCTTCAACTCAATCACTAGATAATTTATTAAAAATTTTATTATAAGCCAGTGATGTGATGAAGTTTCGTTTGAGGCAAAACATAATTGAAGAAATACTTTCAGGTTGTTCAAAACCTAGTATAACCTATCAGTTGGCTATCACTTTTCACATGCCAATAGTTTGGCGTTCATCCTCTTCACCCTACGAAGCCAGAATTTGTGTCGCCTACGAACTTATTTACTTACCCAAATAATTGGAAGTATGCTTACTTACCCAAACAATTAAAAGTATGCTCCTTTATGATCCGGACAGTGTTCCGTCTTCTTGCGGTAGCATTCTTTGGCGTGTTCTCCATGAACCCGTTACTTTATACATCTTATTTACAAGTTTATTTAGTTAATGTTTGAGATCAATAGGACTGAATAATTTGCGGCATATAAATATGGCGCAGAATACCACCAGATTTTTCTAACACAACCTTTCCCACTATTAAGTAATGTAATGATGAGATACCGACTAACAGGGTCAAGGTGAAATTATTATGACCAGGTTTTACACAATCAATTTTCTTCGATTTGAAGTTTCTCACAGATTCACAACATAATCATTTCCATGAAACAAGTAGTAGCATCAGTGAAAAGTTAAAATTTTGAAACCATACTTTGATCTAATCAGCAGTGATCATAACACTTATTTCTACTTATTCGTAAAGCTAGCCAAAGTGTTGTAGTTATATGAACAACTTAACTTTAGGCCTTTTGTAAAGTGTAGAGCCAACTATTGACATCTGTAGAAAAAGACTAGGATGCGAGAAAACGAAACCGTGTTTCTAGTCATATATGAATGGAGAAGATAAGTTTTGCTTTCTCCTTTGATGATCCATAAGTAGTCCTTTGAGTTGAACAATTGACATTCGCGTACAAGTACTTCAGTTCCCTTTTAACGTGCTTTCGCAACAACGGTAAAATTCGTACGATTAACATTAGACCGAAATAAATAATCATTACCAATCAATAACAACATTCCAACTTGAAATATCCGAAAACTCAACTTTCCATAATTCCTAGCATTCGGACATTTCGACATTTTTGTTTCTTGAGTAATTCGAATGCCTCTTGATTTTCGAAATCAAATATCAAAAGTTTTTCTATAAAGATCGATGTGCTCAATATCTTGAAGAAGTTAATAACTCGAACAATTTATATGGCATACCATGCTTTCCTAGTCACATGCAATATCTTCAGATATATAAAGGGAGTGTTGAAAAAGCAAACATAAGCAAAGTTTGATGAATTTTACATGAATTTTAAGAAATTATGATATACACCAGAAATAAATTCTTGGATTAGAAGAATCTTGCAAGAATGGTCAGCATTTGAATCTGGCCGAAGCATGACAATTGGAATATGCGGATGATCAAATATTGCATAGATTCTTATAAAACCTACCTAACAAACTCATTACGAGACCCATAATCATCAGCAGGTGGTATTATTACTTATTAGGGAAATGACAGAAATTGTATGGCATGAAAAACTGATTAAGCGGAGAAGAATAAAACCGCAAGATCTGCATTTGTTTCTTTAGAATAAACACAAATAAATTCCCTTTTAAAGACATTTATATGTTATTTTACAAAGCGTGTCATGAATCTACACAATTGACAATCAAGTGTTTCCTAACAGAAAATTTCCGTAACATTTCATCTTCGCTCAAAACGTTACTAATATCTGATAATGTATTTTGATCCATGCTAATGAAGTCACTGATGTTATTTAAACCTTCTCTGCAGATTTTGTCCCAGCTGGGTGGAGGAGCCATCCAAGAACCATCCTCAGCTATCATATGGGAACGATCGCTTGAGAAATTGTTGAGGAAGTCATCACATAGAATTAACCGGAAAAATCTGAAAATTCTATTATAAAAAAATGAAAGTGTGTCTAATAACCGAATTTTACTTATAGAGAGCGATGGATCACGAATCAGTTGAGAATAAAAATATGCCAATGCCTCATTAAAGTTTCGAATCTAGAGTAGCTGCAGTCTGCTTCTAATATTTTGACTCAAAACACTTTTAACTCAACTTCATCTCTGTTAAAGGCCCTCCGATATGGAAATATTAAATATCCTCATCAAATCGAACAAGCAAACACGAAAACCCAGATCTTTGAAAAATACTGGGCAGTAATATTTTTACTGAAAATCAATTGTTATTTGCTGGAGCATACCGAATGGCGCGAGTTAGTCGATATGGTCAGGCATTAGTGTAGAAGTGTCTTATAATATATGTATGAATCCAATAAAGAAGGTATAGAAATTCTACCATGATACTTTGGACAGCTAATTCAAGTTGGATCTGAATGCCAGTTCTTTCTGTTAGATAGGTCTGAAAAATATCGATCTATATCACCTAGATATACTATCACACTCATCTGCTCATATAAGAATACCAAACCGACTGAAGATACACTTTTTCCTAATATCTCAAAACTCCATAAATTCAACTAAATAAATTCTTCTGGTTATAACATGTATTAATAATCTTATCCTCCGAGTTATACCGGCAGATGTGTATTGTTCACAATCATAATTAAGCAAACAATCTATGCGCGCTGATAGCTGCTTTTGGCGGGTCTGTTTAACACAATGGGAAGAGCGCGCCGAAGGCGGCAACAAGTGCTATAAACATTATAGCACCCGCAAATCAAGTACAGAGGAACGAGCTGTTCGTGCAGTGGGTGTGGCCAACAAGGACCGCGCCATTTGATTTTTCTCTCTTACTTCGTTGTCACGCTTACTCTTTAGAAAAACTATCTCAACAGTTGCCGTGCACCAACAGCGACCTTAAATAAAACTTTGAACGTTGCTGTACTATTAAACCTCGTCGATTGTATTGTCGGCTCCCAGGCGTACTCAAGGCGAGTAAGAGGACCCACCGCAGCCGCGCGCTTGCGCCAAGAAGGTGTTTCCTGGGTGTTTGCTCTTCAAAACAGCATATTTTGCGGCTTATTGCTGTTTTTCGGTAAGTAGTCATGTTTCATAATAGTGTGAATCTTATATTCATCCTGCATTTCAACCTATTATTCTGGTATGTGGTATGTTTGTACAGGGCAATATTTCAGTTGCACTTATCTACAAAATTTCCAGTCCCCCCCCCCCACCCATAAGTATAA